TCGAATTTCTTCACTCTTTTCGCTTTCGTCGTTTAGGCGTTTTTCAGGCAGGACGTCGAATCGATTCGGATTTCATCGTAAACGTTCGCGTCGCTTGTTATCGATGCCATTAACGTTCGCTTAAATTCTACAAACTAATTACTTTTCTTCGCTTCGAGTGCGCACGCCCGAGTCTTTTAATCTTATTAACTGGTATCGATTTTCCGTCAAGCCTCCGGAGGAGTTTGGTATAAACGTTAACGGGGATCGTAGACAGGTGAAAGGGATGGGAGAGGGACGAACAGCGAGCGGGAAACGTCTCGATCGTATTGGCACCCTCTAGTCTGCGTTCGCACAAGTAAATCGTCCATCCGTAAACGGATCGAACGTAAATTCAGCTACCGACGGTTCACCAAAAAGATAAACAACAGGTGTAACGGGTCGATCGATAAGACGCAAAATTTTCTTTCTTGCTCCACCTAGATTCGAGACGTCGTATGATTATTCGTTCTATTCGCGTGTTCTTCGTTCGATAATGTTTCAGCGTACGACGCGACGAATGCACTTGGAAAATAACGCGGTTAATAATGTCCTGGAAAAGAAGCAGAGTATGTAGCTAGAAAACTGAGTCGAAGAATGCCCGTGTGTATACATCCGTGCATATACAGTTCGATGCATTTCATCATGGGAAATGAGAACTGGACGAGAAACCCCGTGGATCCTTTCGGTAACTTTGACTGGACTTTGATCGTTCCTTTTCCCGCGATTCCTCTCGTAGATAAAATTGAAACTTTTCTGTCATCCGCAATTTCTTCCTCGTTTATTCGTCGTCGGTACAGGAAGGGGGCGTTCAATCTGCCCGTGAAATCTTTGAATGCTTTCGTTCCCTTTTCCGTCTCTCGGACTCGTCGACGCGTAATCGTTTAAAATTACCACCGCCTCGAGCAACAACGAGACGTTGTGCACCGACCGTTACAGAATTTAACCTCGAGAACATTTAAGTTATATCTCTTTTACGACTCGCGGTCGCGTAACCGGACCTGTTTAAGAATTGTTTGTTCCTTCGAGTTTCACGTGCAATTAGAAACGGTAAAAGTTACGGTTCCAGCGCGTTACGTGAATATACATTCGGCAATTGGTACCTGTTACATTTGGAATCCAAAGAAAAGTTAATTTACTCTCTAGACAAAGAGTTTCGAATAACAAATAGAAGTAGCAGTGTAATGCTGGACGTTAAAGGGTTAACTGGGTGATGATTTTAGATACTTCTGCTTTTCACTATGTATCATTTGAATAAAATTCTGCCCAAACCTGCTCGAGAAACCATTCCTGTACGTAAATCGTTAACTAGTTACGTTCCAGCGCAATCGACGAGTTTCCAAAGATATTTTATCATGCCTCGATACCTATTCCTGATCGTTTCGTTCGCTACGTCGTGGGTAGCGCGTACCATTATCGCGCGTGACGATGTAAAAATTCCCTCCGACGGATAAACATCATCGGAGAAATAGACGGGTGAACGTGACCGGGCATAAAGCGCTCGTCGTTGTCGGCAACGGTGGTCGAGGAGGAAAAGGTGGTGCTCTCTCTCGCGATCGAAATTAAACGACCGCCTGTAAATTACTTTTTCATCCCTCGGCTGTGATAATCCACGAATGGCTCCGGAAGTTGCGCGCTCCCCGACCCATTAGCCCACACACCACCGATCCGAGTTTCCTCTCTCGAGAGAGGTGCACACCTTATATCACCGTGGCTGTGTATCGCTTGCTGACCGAACGACCAACTTTCCGTCCTCGTCCCGCGTTCTTTGAGCCGCTGGCGGCCAATCGGATTCGATCTTTAAAGGACCGTTCTCTTCCTTCGGAACCCACCGTTATACATACATAGATACATACATACGTATATGTATATCTCCTCGGCCGGTCCGCAGCGTGAAAGCGCAGTGGAGCAACCGCGCGAATCGTGCATGCGCGACACCCGTCTGCGCTTGCGCCACCCTCGCGACTTATATCTATAAGGGCAGCTACCCTCGACGAGGCCGGTCAGTTCTTGCCCGCCTCAGCTCGGGTTACGATCGATCCTTTCTCCCGTCGTCGCGGTTGATCTTGTTTTATCGCGGAGTGGCTCGTGTTCGTGACGTGACGTGACGTGACGTGTCTCTACGTCTTGTATCTCCGTGTTCTTCGAGAAGATACGGGAACAATTCGGTCAGTGTAAAGAAAACTAGTCGTTTAAGTCGTTTTTGTGACAGAGAAAGAGAGAGAGAGGGAGAGACAGTTTCCGACACACGAACGATCCACCCGTCCGTGTTGTACTCTTTCTGAGTGAAGTGTCATCGCTCGGCTGTGTCGCGCGTGTCAGTTTCCTCCTCTGAATCGACGAACAAGAGTGTCGTCGTCGTCGTCGAGATACAGCACGATACGTCTCCAGATACTACGGGGAGGGGGATATATACATCCCCCGGTTCTCGTTGATGTTGTCGCGCTCCGGCGAGCAGTCAACGCCGCCCGGCGTCCCGCCCCGTGAACCAGTTTCGTGGGCAACAGCCTCTGTCCCCTGGGGTTTCCTTACCAATTAGAGGAACGCGTGTGTCCCCCTCGACCTGTGTTGTCGGCCGTCGGATCACCCAGGTGAACATCCCACGTCGACGAACTGTGAAGACCGCTGCCAACAAAGGTACACATACACACGCACACGCACACACCAATTGTTGTTTACCGTAGAAGCGCATTGGGAGAGGGGGGGGGGCGGTTGGAATCTGAAAGGATTCCGGTTTTACGTCGTTTGAATCGTTACCGTATTCCCGTGGACAAAGTGTAGTAATCATTCGTCGTAAACGAAGGTCGAGCTTCACGATAGAAAGACACGTGTTTTTTCTATCGGCAACCTTTACACATTTCAAAGGCGTACGGAAATTACCAGAAGGGACCACGTTGTTCGCGTTTAGAATAGTGTGATTCGAGATCCATCGTCCCGCGAATACATTTTGTTGTTGTTCAATTTCGACGATTGTGTTCACTCGAAACACACGTATATACGTGTATTATACGCGATCCAAGGAAGATACTGTGCCCGATGAAAATTTCCGGGAAAGGCATCGTTCGCGAGTCAGCGAGAGAACGCTGCATACGGGGGGTGCCCTCTTTGACTGCAAAATTAATTGAGGTTTAATTAACCGTGGATCCCCGTAGGGATAGCGTTCGCTTGGCGTGTTCCATCGTCGAACCAGCCCCCAGAATTCGTAGTAATTTCTACGGGCATAATTATTCCATGGCCCACCCCTGCCCCCCTTTATTTTGCGCGTTATTTAGCGACGACGCTTCTGTTCAATGTCTGTACGTACTTGGAACGCCGGTGAACGTATATCGTGTGTACGGGGAATAACGTTGAAATTGCAGGAACGAACGGTCGGGAGAGATCGATAGAATTGTCGAGAGGAGAAAGAGAAAAGGGGAAAATCTTGATGGAGAGACGCCCGGCCCCGATCTCGGGGGCTGTTGCGGTTCCTTGCCGGCGGTTTGATCGAAAGGGTATTTCCTCGGCATACAGGAGAAAAGTTCTTCCGGGGAAGATAAACTGTTCCCCGCGTCGTTCCTCCCCCCGCCCCCTCTGGAAAACTTGCTCTCAGGCGCGGAAGTTTTGTGGAAGATTCACAAAAGATTCTTCTTCATTTTTTCTCCCTCCACTTTCGATACTCGAATATAATTCAAGGAGAGGTTGCAAAGTTTCCACGGAAGGAAACTCGAGGGAGCAGCCGGAGCACAGTTTTGCGAGGAAGATTCGCGGAAATTAATTATCGTTCTTAAATGAAAAAGTTCCACGGCACACACTTGAGTTTGGGGACCCGTTGTTGTTGTTGGTATACATATATCTCGCGACAATAGAACGTGTCGAGACCATGTTCGCCACCGATGCTTCGCCGTTTCCATTTTATCGCGTCCCGTTTAACGACAATCGGGCTCCGTTTTCCAGCAGTGGAAAGTAGCGATTCTTTCGCGACGATAACGCCTCGAGAACGACACAAGGTTGTATTGGTTCCGCGTGAACGACAGAACTTTATGAAGAGAGCACCATTTTCCTCGACGACGACGAAATATTCTCTGAATCGCTGTCGAGGAAAATGTGGGTCGATCGTGCGAATGACTCCGACGACTATCTCACCGTTCTCACCGGCAAACGAGTGCACCGACGGCGGCGGAACCGATACGTCGATAATTAAAAATCGGACTGTCGAATCCGGCGGGGAGAATAATTAGCCCGGGGGTTGAGACGGTGCCTTGCGCGTCTGTCGCGCGAACGAACCTTTTGTAATCCAGCCTCGGGCTCCGAAGTAGGTCGAAGTTTCGCGGGCGGGGGAACAAATTAGGGGATGATCGACTCTCTCTGTCTCTCTCTCTCTACCACCGACGACTACTCGTCCCGCCTCTGTGCCCCGCAGCGTGCTGCATCGTTTCTGTCGGTGGATCGATCCCGGAATTATTAGGTAATTACCGCGGTGCGCCGGGAATAATTTCAGAATCGATTAGAGGGGAGGGGCGCTAGTACGAACTTCCTCGGACGGAATTAAGTGTCGACTCGTTTAACGTCGGATCACTCGCCCTCTAACCTCGATAATCCCCACCCACATCCGTTCTACGGGGTGTTCTTCGAATCTTTCCCCGGTAAACTGTGCACACGCGCGTACTTACCGTGGTATTATTAGCGGCGATTATGTAGTTTCAAGTTAGACGACGAGAAGTGTTCCCTGCGAAGGACACGCGAGACTGACATCGGAGAGATTGTTAAGAGAAAAACTGTTGAATTTTCCAGACACGAATCGCGACGTAACGGGCGTTTCCACGAGGACGATGACGAGCCTGAACGAGGGGACGTTACCACAGGCTTGCTTCTCTTAATGTCTCTATCCTGAACAAGTACCGGCAACGAGGACACGATCGTTGCGAGGTCAGGGCTGGAGGAGGGCAGGGATCGACGAACGGGGTGGAGGAGGAGGGGCAGAAGGCGCGATAAAAATAAAGAAAATGGGGGTGCCGGATGTGGAGCAGGCTAAGAGACGACTTCAGGATATTCTTCGGAAAGCCCAGAAGCTCGAGATACCGCCGCAAGAAGTGATCTCCACGAGGACCGCCCAGAAGCTTCTTGCCAGGACGCGGAACGTCCTGGCATGGACGATCTGGATCACTGTTTTTCTCGTGCTGCTCAGCGGGGTCGTCTATGCACGGTGGCCAACAAGGCAGGAAGTCGAGACCATTAGGACTGTCCTCAGGCGAACGGTAAGTCCCAGTAACAATTTCTCTTGATTCGTCGAGACCGGATCCGCTGTTTCGCGACGCTGAAAATTATTCTTGTTTTTTTTTTCGTGTTTCCCCGCCCACGAAATTCCATTACATCGCTATTCGTCGATAACTCGAACGAGAGTAACATTGAAAGGTAAACAGACTATACAAACAGATATTAAACAGACCTATCTGTTTTCAATATTTCCTTCTTTTATTTATTTTTGGAAGGAATCACTTTCTGCTTTATACCAATTTCTATTCGTCTAATCGATCCCCGTAGTAATATTGGCCTCTCGATTCGCCCATTCATTTGCGTCGTTTAATGATTCAGCGAGCAATTCGATCGCTGGAACAAGGAACTCGACTCGGATTCAAGCGAAACAGCCGCGTCGACGCATAAAGACGTCGATACTTTTTGAAATAATAAAAAGAGTCCTCTCTGTGGGCATCTTCTCGCAGCGTGCTCTCGTGGTATATCCATTGCCTGGTCAATTCACGGGGAATGGGGAACCGAGACCGGATGATGATTCCCGTAAAGATCGATCGGCTTTTATCCCTGTATACTACCTACTGCGCTCGCCGGTTCAATGGAAACGGTTACCCCGATAACTATTGTTTGCAGCCTTCGCATTTACGATCTGAATTTTCCATGCCCCACGCATTCGACTCGTAAACCAGCCATAACCGTTTTCGTTCGCCATCTAATAAATATCGGCCCGGCCAGGACTTTATGCTCGTTCGAGTCGCCGCGCGAGGTCGTAACAAACTTTCTCGTTTCGAGGGAACCTTTTAGAATTCGCGAACCGTTAAAAGACGGTCTGTTGGTCCCCCTGGGTTAGAGAGTACACATGAAATTAAAATGAAACTAGTCCGGGCGACTAATAAGCGTTTCTGGCGGCGATCCAAACGCCCGCGGAACACTGAAACTAGCTGTGTTTTTTTCCGGTTCTTTTGTTTTTTTATTTTTTCGCAACACCTTATACACGAGCGGATTATTTCGTCAAGTTCGTTATCCCGTGGTGCCGGTGGATTTGCAATTCCGCGCGGAGCGGAGAGTGTACGGTGTGCCCTAATAGTGTAACGTCGAATAATCCTGGAGTTGGCCCGACCTATGCGTCAACGTCATTGACAGATGACGTTATCTGTTCGATGGAGTTGTTACCGAAACGCGTGTTACGCCACCACATATTCCACGGTGAAAATCATCGTCCTCCTGTCTACCCTCGAAACTCCAGTAACCGATTTTTCACTTGTTCCTTTTCGCTCGTCGCTGTCTTTTACGTTACGGATTCGAATTGAAATTGGCTTCCCCGTTCTCGTTCGCCTGCTTTGTCGCGTGTACCACACACTGTGTAGACATCGAGGACGAACATTGAGAGACGGACAGGCACGTTCTTTTTTAACACGTTGACTGCCACAGAATTTATTACTGTGACAATATCATTATATAGAATATATTTGTTTCTGTCTTTGTTATCAACGATATAGGTATATACTTATACTTATGCGTTCACTCAAAGACTCGTTACTTTGATTATTATCATGCTAGTAATTGCACTCACGAAATGTTAAATGCTCCTGCTTAGGAATTGAATGTTTGTTCGTGTAATCTAAAGGCTCCGGTCCTAGGTCATCGTCCTAGCAGTCAATGTATTAATGGGAATAATAATAGTGTTGATAAAATATCGCGTTGATTTTACGTTTGAAATAGTGCTTGACATATCTCTGTTTTTGGTTCGCGAGATGAGACAGACGAGTCTTCGTGACCTCTGTTCAGTTGTTGGATTTCAAAAATGTATGTAGGTGTACAACGAAATGGTTGCTCGATCGAAATGTAACTCGGTCCTCTCGGCGACGATAATTATCCCGAATTGGAAACACAATCGCGACTCGGTGATCCGTGTCTCTGTTATTCTCGATTCGGTGCGCGCGGAAGAGGATTCTTTCCCGAGCGAGGGACGAGTTCGCGTTACGGTGTTTGTTTCGAGATTAAAGCGACGCTCGTTTATTTTCGTCCGAAGGAACGTTAATTGGTGAGGCGGAACGAAATTTTTGTTTTTCCACTACCCCTCTAGTTGGTCATGGAAAACGCTTCGTTTTTTCGACAGATCGAACCGATGGACGGATCGCAAATTTGCCTGAACCGAGATATAGGGCGCGCATGTCCACGCCACCATAAAAAACAATTTGCCTGGTCGATTTGTTTGAAAGCTTTCCGTAACACGGTTACGAGTCTCGCTTTATTCGACACTGTGTTCTGGATTATTAAACGCCGGGCAGCACACCGGCTGATGAAAAACCCTCAGCTATCCGGTTGAATAATATCAAGGTCAGCTTTTGTACACTTGATCGTTAATATTAACAGCCGTAAGACTGTACGCACGCTTTTGTACAAATGCAGATTTTCCCTTTTATTTCTCTCGCCTTTACTTTTTTATCCACTTTTCGTTTCGTTGCTTATTTGGCTGTTTCTCTTTGCTCAGTTGCATTTAAACACGCAACAGAGATGACTATTAATGATGCTATTTAACACTAGAGCTACCGACAATTAACCTCTTGAGGGATATTGGCACGTATGAGTACGTTTAGTTTTTCTTTCATTCGAGCATTATTTCGAAACTATAATTGCATTTTCATTAGGAAATTCCTCAATAAGAAAGAATGTCCTAAGAATTGATTGTCGTTAACATTCATAAATATATTTTAATTAAATGCTGCCGAAGAATAAAGAAAATATTCTTTCTGGTCTTAATAAATTCGTCCCTGACGAGGTTAATGTACACTTTTTTCCGTCAGATCGATAAAAACGTCAATTCTACGGAACTATACAGACTCATAATTTCTTCCTCTATACATATTGTAGTAAAAGTTACGAAAAATCTCGTGAATTGTACTGTAATAACATTTGAATCATTTTTATAGGAGTTTATGAACCCGCAACTTTGACTGTTTTGGTAGATCTACTGTTAACTTTCAGCCTCCTGCTTCTATTGTATAATATCTTGTTAAACGTTGTGGATCGATTAATTGAAAACAAACAGTCTTGAGGGTCGAGCAATTTTCACCTGTTCCGTTTAATCTACAAAATTATTGCCGTTTCAACCGACGCCTTCGTCGCAAATTTCCATGGGAAATTAATATAGGTGTATTGCAAGATCGACTGACAGCAATTTCAAAGTTCGGGCCGAGCCCCCTCTCCCCATCACACCTTGCGGTACGTCTGAAAAGACAAAGTAGAATATTTACGAGGCAATTAACGAGCGATCCGTGCACCACCAGTCGAAACGCGTTCCGAATATCTTTGTAGAGTCCGCGACTGCCACCACCTCCGTGGAATTACGAGAATTCTCATTGCGTTCCACTCAGGTTTCGTTGCAGTTTCGTTGTACAGTGATATAAGTTTTGCGAATTCCTCCCCTTCCTCTCTTCTTCTCGCGAAGGGGATGAAGCGTGTGTTCTCAAAAGCAACGAATACACTGTCCCGATGACTAACATTTCGCGACGATTTTCCAACATGTCGCTGTCGTCCGTAATACATAGTTTCTATCGAAAATTCCATCCGATGCACAGTGTGTAAGTTTCGAGAAATTTCGCCGTGCTCTGTGTCCCAGTTAAAAGTTGTCGCGTACCTACGCGAGAGAAACAAATAGGAATGGGTGTTTTGCATTGGGCCGCACGGTCGGAAATTTTCCGTCGAACCCAAACATTATTCCTAAATGTGGCGGGTTAGTCGGTCTCCTCGAGTTTGGCAGAATCGTCTGGGTCTGGACTAGAGGTTGGTCGGTCGGTCGGGGGGTTACTTGAAAAGTGGTTAACGAACCGGCTTCCGACTTACGGATGCTGCGGTTGGCTGTATGGTAATCGCGTTAACTTACTTAATTAGGATCGTGCCTGCTAATCAACTCGAAATCTCTTTCGAAAACTTGTTCAGCCTCCGGCGGCGGACGCGTTACGCCTTTATTTCGACTCTCCATCCCTCCCTCCGCTCGGTCCTTTCGAAAAACGGGACCAATTTACCGCCGGGGTGTTATTTATCGAGCTCTTGTTCGCGCGTTATTTCATGTTATTACGGGTACACTGTCGATACGTTGAAATTTCGTAATTTAAACGCATGGCCGAGGCTCCCAGATAGGAGCCATTAATTCACCCTGTAACGGACTGTGATTCATAGTTATATCGGGACGTTAATGACAACGAGTCGCGAACCGATCGTCAATTTTAATTTTTTTTTCCACGCGTCGTTCGTCGGACACCGAAATTTGCCACTAGATTCGCTTCGGTGAACACCGTTGATTCGAGCGCTTAGTTCCGATTTACAACCATCACGGGCGAATATTTCTTCGACGGGGCAGGGGGGGGGGTGGAAAATAGCGCGCCGAAGGCGACGTTTCCCCGCGGCTGATATCTCCGAGGAGAATTTATGTTTGCAGCAGGAGAGCAATAACGTTACGCGACGGAGGCGATGCAGTTTTCTTCGGGAATAATCTTCTTGTCTTGGAATTCCATCCGCGTGTCTCACCGATACCCTACACCCTTTTGCGTCTTTCGTCCTTAAATCGCGCATACCGTCTGTGTATCCGGCGTTTTTTTTTCAATCCTGCGCCGTGTCCCCGTTTTGTAGCGTCGTAAAGTTTCTCGATGGAGGATTCGACGCACAACCGTACGCGTTGGTTCGTTTTTCCATCGACGTTTTCCTTTATAATTCGTCAGCGGCGAGGCGTGCACGCTTCGAAAAGTTACACTCGCGATGGAATTCCAACTTCCAGGAACGAAACGTATTGCATTCCACACGGACGTCGCGTGAAACCTGCAAACCACTTCGAAATCAGCGCGGGTCCACGAGAGTCGAGTGACAGAATTTTTTCGTGGTATTTTAAAACTGAAGATCCTACGGTTTCTCTTGTGGAACAGTTTTCGGAAAACTTTTCGAGAATGTTACGATCGCGGTGAGTTTCCGCACGACCCCCTTGAATTAATCGTCACGGTTAATTTAT